GCCCCCGGACCCGTCTGGTCCGGGGTGACCTCAGGCCCTCCCACCCCATTGGGCTTGGCCGCTGTTGCCCTGCGGTCACTTGCTTTTGACTCAACCGCTCCTCAACGCGGTGCTTAGCTCGGCCGAGGGCTCAGCCTGACCCCCACCTCGCAGCCTTGCTGCCCAGACCCAGGACCTCCCCATCTCAGCGCTCACCTGACAGGAGGTCAGCGAGCAAGCTCCCCGGTTTGAAATGTGTTGAAGAAAGTCCCCCAACAGCCCTCTGACTTGGGCTTCACAGTGATGAGCCTTTAATCTAGACACCAGCTTGCAAAAAAGGTGCTGCTGATCTCACAGGGATAAGAGTTTGGGTTTCCTTGCTGTTCCTGCACCCTGTGTAAAGGCCAGGCTGCCTTCTCCTTTCTCCTCCTCCAGCTGATGCTGTCTTTTCCCTTCGTGACAGCACTGTGTCCTCCTGAACAGTGAGTGCTAGGGAGATTTGGGATGAATTAACCCACACACAGCAAAATTTGAAGTTAAACAAATAGCGAAGATGGTGCCAAGAAAGCAGGAGAGTTGCCCAAGGCTGTGCCAGGTCTGTGAGGCTCTGCTCCTCTCCTTTCTCCTGGGGAACCTCACGTTGGCTCAAACCTGTGTGCATCCACGCTTGGGTCCCTCTGCTGAGTGCACGTTGCTCTCTTTCTTCTTGCCGGAGCCATGAACAGGCTTTTGGAGTAGATTTTTACCTCCTGGCCTGAATGTTGCCTTTTCACCAGAGACACAGTGAACAGAAGCTCTAGATGCTTTGCAGTGGAGTGCCTTTCTGCCAGCATCCTGCACTGGGTTTTAGCAGCTGCTCAAGCCCAAAGTAGCCACTTCCTGGTTAGTCCCAGACTAAGCCCTTAGAAACTTTGCCTTTGGCCAGGGGAGCGCTTGCCCTCCGCAAAGCAGTGCCTGCCTCACTGTGTCCCCACAGCACTGGGAATCGATCCCGAGTGGTGTCAGTTCTTTCGAGAGTGTACTCCAGTAATGGAGTATTACTCCATGCTGCAGTAAGTTCAGCTCTTCAGGGCATCTGACTCAGGCAGTAGTAGGAGACCCCATCTGTCCTACACAACAATTATCATCTTCTCTACAAAGAGGTGTTTTACCTGCCCGCATGAAGCTGTCACATTGGCTTTAACCTCTAGCCCTGGATTTGCCTATTTAGTTGAACTGAAAGTGCTTGTGTAGGAGGGGTTTGTGGGTGGATGAGAGGACAGATGGGGTCAGCCCAGGGTGGTCCTCAGTTATCTCTGCTCTGGAGAGGCTTCCTTGTCCTTGCTGTAAGCTGGAATCCCTCTAATGTGACCATCGAGATAATTTTCTTGCTGAATACAGGCAAGTGCAGCAACAGTTGGCCAGTGCTGGCTTTCTAATGGCATCTCTGTTGTTCCTTGGTTGTTGCAGTCATGTGGCAGGTACAAATCCAAGCTGCACGGTGCGACAGACTATTCTGTAGGGCTGGCAGCGGAGAAGAAATGTGAGCTGGCTGAGGTGAAGGATGAGATTCAGAGAATGAAGAAGGACTTGGGGCAGACCTTGCAGAACCTTGAGGTATGGCTCTCCAGGACCCTCATGATCACCAGGGCGTTGAACAGTCCTGTTACTTTTCACACTTCTTTCAACGTGCTGTCCCTCAGGCAGTGAGACAGACTTGGTCGGTGAGGGCTGTTCATAGCAGAGCATTGGTGTGAGTGGTCCTGGGTTGAGAGTGGGAGCTGTAAGTGTCCTCTGACCTCATACTGTTCTTGAAGGCAAGTACACCAACAGAGATCAGAGGTGCCCAGTGTCTAAAGATGGATCTTATTATGGCAGGAATTAATAAGGTGAGGGGAAGATTTTTAGGTAGAGAAGCTCAGATCTGCTGGGTGAGATGAAAAAGTCAATGCTCAAAAGAAAAATCTCCTTTTTGTCAGCTTCTTGAAGGTGCCTTTTGTGCCAGTTGTATTTTTTGTTCTATTGGCTCCCAGAAGCTTCCTGATTTGCCTGGGCTCCATGCAGTCCTCTCTGGGGTCTGCCTTTTTGCCATCTCTGGGATTTCTTCAGAGCATCCTCCAAGTCTCAGAGGCTACGTTCCTGCTGCAGGCTCCTTGTGGCTGTACCACCATCTCTGCCTGCCCTGTGCTGGCTGCCAAGACCTCCTCCTAGCCAAGATGCTCAGGAGCTTTTGGGGAAGGAGAGACCTCTGCATTTGATTCATACCCCTGATGCTGCCTGCAGTGGCCAGGAAGGATGAAGCAGGCAGCCTGTCCCTCTTGTGTAGCCACAGGGCATACACAGTAAACAAAGGGTGGCAATTTGTCTTGTGTTGGCTTAGCCAGGCTGACAATGTTTGTAGGTCAGGATGGAGGACAGATGTTGAAGCTCAGGCACATAAGAGATTTTTTGCTTATTCTTTTTGAGTCGGTGAAGTAGCAGTGCTGTATGAGCCTCCACCATGTGCCCTGAGCTGCACAGGGTGAAAGTGCTGCCACGGGAGAAATGCTAATAATGCCAGGAGCAAGCATGCCTGGTCCTTTGCAGTGTTCTCTGTTCCCAAAGCTGTTTGAGTAAGGGAAGTCACCACCTCTTGGCTGTTATGTGGCTTTATTTCTACAGGCAGTCACTGAAGAAGCAAGTGTTTGGTGGAGTGATGTTGAGAAAGCCATCAGTGGCTTTGAGAAAGACATGATCAGCACCATCTCCAGCAAGAAAGTGAGTATCGTAGCTTCTGAGAAGCTGAGAAACATGGAGGAGGAGAACCGTCAGAGGGTCAGCGCATCATGGCAACTTTTGAGGCTGGTCTGTCATCTGACAAGTATGTTGGTTAGGGAAAAAACTAACTCCCATACTCCTGTGGAGCCTACATCACATTTTCAGACTGTCTTAGCAAATCTCTTTGGACAGCCCTTGTCACACTTGGCAGTCGGTGACCAGGCCAGGTGCTCATAGGGCTGCTGAGCTGCAGCACAGTCCGGGAGCACAGCTGATGCAGGGCCCTTAACAGAGCCTGGGAAAGTGCATGGCCATGCCCCCATGTTTGGGGCAGGGTGATGCTGAGCAGCGTTTCTTGCTGGGCTCTTTCCTAAGTCAGCAGTGAAGGCTGCAGTATGGATGAAATGAAGTGGAACCGCACCATAAGGAATCGGGTCTGGGTGCTCTTTCTCCTCCCCAGGCTCTACTGTCCTGCTATAATCTGCTGCCTTTCTTTAGGATCTGCTGGGAGGGAAGTTGCACTTAAAAAAATTCTGTGCCTAAGGGTTATAACAAGAAGACGCTGCAGCAGCAGCTCAGGCAGGTGCATGCAGCAGTTGAGGAGAAGCAGGGCCTTGATGGCCCCTTGAAGAATGAAAGGAGTACAGCCCAGTGCAGGTCTGTGTAGAGATGCGTGGCCCTCTTCCTCCTTACCTTCCTACTCTGCTCCTGGCCTTGCTGCCTTTGTCAAAGGGCACTGTCTTCTGCCCAGGTTCAAACCTGGCATGTGTCTGCGTGCATGGGATGAGACCAGAAGTCTCACGGAGTGGAAGCTGTCAGACCTCTCTGTGCCCTGGAAAAGATGTGTGGTGGATCAGAGCAGTTCCCTGGGGACTGGCTGCTGCTGGCATGGCAGGAGCCTTGCCAGAGGGGACCTGTCTGCACTGCATGGACCCTCTAAGCTAGGACACAGAGCACAGGCTCGGTGGCATGCTGCGTCTCGCATTTCTCCCCAAGCCCCAGGTTTGCAGCCAGGCTGAAGACTCTGTTCTTTAGGTCTGCTTTACCCATAGAGCAAAGCTCTCTTATTTGGGATGCGGCTTTGGTCAGCAACCTGCAGCTCGTCTTCCTTGGGGTTTGCAGAAGGAGCAGATGGGACAGACACTCCGTGAGGTACATTTGCAGCAGCTGCATGTTAGAAATGCCCAGTACCAGGAGAAGATTGATGAGAAGAAGGAGGAGCTGCTGCAGCTAAAACTGACCTCAGGGAAGACTGGCCAAGTCCTCAACTTGTATAAAGTGAGTGAACCTCCCAGCACCTCCATTTTGCCTTTCTTCTGTTTCTGAGGGTCACACACCAGCTGATTAACAGCTCTCACATCCTTCCCTGTCTCAGAGGATGGCGAACACCTCTCTGCCTTCCCACAGACTTAGCAGTTCAGTTGGGAAGTTCGAGCGACACACCAAAAGCAGTGATGCACTCATTCGTGATTGCCTACAGCCTGACGGTGGGGTTCCTGCTTTGCAGCACAGTTGTTTTGCACTGCAGGGGAAAATACCAGTATGGAAGAGTTTTGGTGCTGAGTTGCACAGGAAATTACTTTTTTTACACAGCCTGTTGTATTTGAAAAGATGGCATGAGCTGCAGCCGTCACTCTGAGTCTCTGCTCTTAGCAGTGAAAAATGCGTCTCAGCTGGGTGTATTTGCTTCTCACCGGTCAGCCGTTCTGTCTGGGGCATTCCTAAACCCCAGCTGCTTGCTGTGGGCTGTGCTGTGGTGTGACACACGAGGACATAACAAAGCGGTAGCTGCATGACCAGGGCATGACGTTGCCTTCTGCAGGGGATCAGTGGTGCCGCAGAACTCCCTTGGGAGACGAGCTCCTGCACTGCCAGCCAAAACCAAGCTGGAGGAGTGGAGAGGTGGCTTTGCAGGTGGCTGGGAGCTGCCATTGTGCCTGCTGATGCTGCCCTACTCTCATGTTCCAGAAGAAGCTGCAGGACGCCATGGAAACATCCACGTCTCTGATGAAAGACATCTCCCAGAGGAAGGAGCTGCTGGAGAAAATTGAAAGAGAAGCTGCTCTGGTGGAGGAGGTAAGAGGACGATTTGGGAGGCCCCAAGACTCCACTTGGGAGGACTCTTTGAAGGTACTTTTTGTGGTATGTTGGATACCAATGCCCATTCAAGGCCTGTCAATGAGCAGGGTACCTGTGCCTTTCTGGGTCTGAGCAAGTCCCAGGGCTCCTGCCGATGCCAGTGAGCATGGGCAGGTTTGCAAAACAGGGCATGGATTTTGGCCCTGGCTCCACAGGTACCTGCCACTGGCTTCTTGAAATTCTGTTTCCTTGACCTTTTCATCAGCAGTGTCCTTCTCAGGGAGAAGTGGCACTGCTGTCATATCAATCAGGGGACATACAGCCTGGCGGGGACACCACAGCTTTGGGAAGCAGGTTCAAGGGGTTCCCTAGCTGTGCTGCCTGGCAGGGATGGAGACACTGGTGGCTGCATCCCACTGTTTTCCCCTCACAGTGCCAGGGGTTTAATTTATCCTGTCTGCCTGCTTCCCTGGAGGACTGGCCACTGTCTGGCAGAGGGACATTTCCCTGAGATCTCCTTGCCCTCTGTCCCTATTCCTCTGGCAGCAACGAGCCAAAGCTGAGAGAGTGAATCGGCAGCTGCGGAAGCAGCTCTCAGACTACAGTGTCCCCCCTGTGCTGAGTTACGTGCAGAAGAAGATGGCTGTTGCTGACCTCAAAAACAGCCTCCGGGCTTGGGAGAGGAAGGTGGCAGTTGCTGAGGTAAGCGAGACCAAGCTGGGTGCGCAGCAGCCTGGACATGTGCCAGCTGGGCACTGGGTCCCAGTGGAGGTGCATCTGCCCACCCTGAGGACTGGAGCGCTTGCTCCTGATGCACTGGGAAGATGTGCGAGAGTCTCGTGTGGTGGTTCCACTGGTGCCTGGCAGAGCCAGAGGCTCTTCCTGTTTACAGGGCAGCAATCACTCCCTACTCGAAGGACAGAGGCTGAATTTTAATGACTTAACTCGGAGGGGAAGCCAAGGCAAGGACACAGCTTGTAATTTGACAGGAAGCACCATCAGGCTGTTGCTATACTGAAGCCTGTTGTGTGTGTAAGGAGAAGGGGACATATTGGAGCCTGATGTGCTTCCGGTTCTGCATATGTAACCTGCACTGGCCTTTTCTAGAGCTCCTGATGGCTCCCTAGTGTTTGTAGTCTGCTTTGATGATCTCAGGCATTTCTTTCTTACTTGTATCTTGACCCTTTCCTGATAAGGAAAGACTAGCCAAGATCTGAATGTGAGTTTCTGGCCAAGTTGCAAGAATATCTTTGACTCTCCTTCTGCTCCAACTCCTGCAGCCTGGGAGAAGGTGGAGAGATAACACAGAAGAACATAGTCAAAGCCTGGATGTAGCAGGGCATGTCTGTATCCCTGCCTCACGTGCACAGCAGTGTGGGGAGAGAAATGCCTGGGGTGGATGGGATGGATAGTGTGGTCCTGTACTCCTGGCACCCTGCTTGTTCTCAAGTGGAGATGGGCTTAGCTGTGGCTGGGATGGAAAAGGCTCTGTGCTTGTGCCTGTCCAGCACTTAGGCACTCGGCACCCCAGTCCACAATGGACAGGGCTTATGTGGTCTGACGTTCCTCAGAGGTCAGAACTGCATGGATTTGGGCTTGACCCATCAGCGCCAGTGCTGTGGGTTCAGAAGTGGGGGTCCAGCTGTGGCTACCCCAGAGCTGGTGGGCAGCCTGCCTGCAGGCCTGTCTGCACAAGCAGATCCCTTCTTACCCAGGTGCTCCCCTTGACCAGGAGACCCCGGCTGTCTATGCAGTAGTGCCCAGAGTCCTGCCAGCCTCTGGGAGCCAGAGAGCAGTGAGGGCTCAAGAGGCTAAAGAAGGAACCTGTAGCTGTCCCTGGGATAAGAGTGAGGCTATAAACCTGTTTTCTTTGCCGGCCGCTTTGTGGCAGGGCATGTCCAACACCCCTGCTGCCATGCAAGGGGCTGTAGGTTTTTATACAGTGCTGTTGTGTGGGGTCTCCAGGCTTTCTGGGGCATTCAGGACAGAAACCAAAGCTGGTGCAGATCTGTCGGAGCTCTCCTCAGCATGCCACAGCGAGCACTGATCTCACGTGGGAGCAGCGGGGGCAGAAGGGGCAAGCAGTACAGCAGCTTAGGCCAGGCTAGATTATAGCCTTGCAGCTTTCTCCACAACATATCACTGCTGTCTGAACGTATTAAGGCCTTCCCCTTTCTCCTCTTGCAGATGTCCTTGCAAAGCTACCGCAGAGCGTGGAACCAGGTCAAGATGTCTGGTAACCAGCACTAGGCTTGTCTGATGCTGCAAGGGGGCAGTGGAAGCTGCAGAAGGAACCAAGCCTGTGGGGAATTTTGCTGTCAAGTGGGTGAACGTAGCACCCTGCAAGCTGCAGGGAGGTGAAACCACTTCTGCATGAAATGATAAAGAAACCTAAGGCTCCGTTGTGAGGCCGTCTCTTTGGTCTTTCCCAGCACGTGCCGGCTTCCACCAGGCGCCACTGCTTGGCCCTGCTAGGTCAGCTAGCTCTGCACTGGGTGTTCCCCCCTCCCTCCATCATCACAAGCAGTTTTTCTCTGGTGATCAAATCTGACATGTTCACAGGAACTGTCCTTTCTCTCTGAGCAAGCCCTGGTGATCACTTAATGAAGGAGGAACCAGAGGGGATTCCCTGGGAGATGTGGGAGTTCAACATCTCTGAGCGTGCACTGACAATAGAAGAGAGCAGAGCAGCATGAGCATATAAGGCAAATCATTTCAACATGGCATGCATGAACCAAGCAGACCTTCTGATCGCAAAAGAGTACTTCATTTACCTAAAGAAACAAATCAGCAAGAAGAGAGCAGCTACCCTTTTCCCAAGCACCTGGGGCAAGTGTAAGTGTCCCTTGGAGATGGGAAGCGTTTTCCTGCTGCAGGAGTTAAAAATCATCTCAGATGGCTCAGCCTCAGATGACTTCAGGTCATCTTTCCTTCTTGGGGTTGAAACCAACTTCCTGAAATATCCTCACTGCTGGTCTGGAAGCCTCTTCCCAGTCTTTGGGTGGAGCCTGCAGATCAGCTTACACTCTGACTAGCGTGGGGAACGTGGGAGGTCCTATCATGGTGGCCAAAATCCAGTTGCTGTAGTAGGACACTGGGGTGTATAGGAACAGCCCGTAGCATCTGATGCCGCCCTCACTTTCAGGACCCATTTCTCAGTCCCTCTAATCTGGCATATGACGGGGTTGCCAGCATCACCCTTTTGAGAGACAAAAAGGGCAGGGTTGTGTCTCAGCAGTATCCCTCCTGCCATTGCTCTCAGTGGCTGTGGACTTCACCAGGGTGAGAGGAGGGCCGATCACAGCAGTTCGGTCCTTTATCATCACTGGCAGCAAAGCATCACTGATTCAGGGGGCTGGCTGCCTTTGGGCTGATGATGTCCCTGTGTGCCCCAGAAGAAGTGACAGGCATTTCTCCCTGTGTCTCTTCATGTCCCCATCAGCCCAGACCCACGCCTGATCCTTTGGTACGTACCACAAGGAACCCCTCTTGGTTTTGCCTTCTGAGCATCTTTGACCCTGGCCACATCAAAGGCCCTTGGAGGCCCCAGCAGGGTGAGAGGTCCAGGGACCAGGAGCAGTGCCTGCAGGCCTGCAGGGAGACACACACCCTGCAGGTCACGCAGAGATGGGTACCACACGTTCAGTCTCCCACGCTTGCTGTTTGCAAGCTGTGTGAAAGGGATCTTTTCCTGTAAGGACAGAGCAGAAGCCCAATGACTGTTTTGGCTGCTCTCCCAGCCTGGAGTCAGAGACAAGCAGAATGAGGAGGAGATGGTTTGGCTGAATATCTGCCTGGTGTGGGTTGGCACTCTGTATCCCTTACCAAACAGCCAGCCACTTTGTCGGCGTCCCTGTGGCTGCAGCGTGCCGTTGCAGCAGTCCTTTATAGCAGGCAGAGATCCATGTCCACCATAGAGAGCGTCCTCAGGAAGTCACTGCAGCACTTTCCCCTGCCTGGCCAAGGGACCACTGTGAGCCTGTGGCTCTGGGCAGCCCCTAGCCTCCAAAAAACAGGCATGGGTGACCAGTGGGTGCTTCTTCCTCCCAGGACAAGCCCCGTTCCCCTTTGTCCTATTGGGCCGTTGGCAGGAGGGAGTGGGAAGGTGGCTCTCCACCCTGCTGGAGGGAGCTCTTTGCCACAGGAGCCAGAGGTTGCCTGTGATGGGATGGATCCAGCCCGAGACCCAGCAGTTCATGAGGTCTGAGGCAGAGAGGCTCCCCTGGGGGAAGCGAATGGGCTGAACGATGCTGCTGAACGCCAGTGGGGCAGCTGTCCTGAGCAGAGCAATATTGTTGTTGAGCATCACCTTGTCAAAGTCCTTGTAGGGGATGACAGTGCTGGTGGAATACTGGTGCCGGTCCTCCCGTTGCCTCTTCATGGCGCTCAGTCCAACCAAGGCCACCACCTGCTGCCTGCGTGGGGTGGATGAAGGGGACTGGGTGCAAGCAAAAGCCTGGGGCAAACTCTGCCTGCCCCTGCTCTGACTGAAAGATGCTCGCCTAGCTGCTGGGCAGCAACAAGACCCTCCTGAGTACTGGGAGGGGGTGTTACTCCCTCCTGATTCCCAAGCATTGCCTGGGGCAACACAGGACCCCTTGCAGGGCACGGACCTGCTCTGCAGGCTGGATGTGGCGCTGAGGATCCAGTGCTCATTCAGGTTGGAGCCGAAGGCCAAGAGATTGCGCTGCGTGTCCTGCAGTGCCACCACCCGTGGGAACTGGTCTGTGGCCAGCTGCGGCTGGGCTTTCCAATGGGGAGTTCCTGGTGGGGACAAGAAGTCCCTTCTCAGCTCATCAAAGGCCATGTGTGCCTTTGGAAAGCAGGACAGAGAAGGTGGGATGGTGTGAGGGATGTGAAAACTACTTCTTTCTATCAATGGTGAGAAAACTGTTGAGAAAGAGAAATTACAGTACCCCTTGTATGCACTAATTAATAGCCATGGGTGAAAGGAGCTGGTGAGAGGCAGAAAGCAAAGGCATCTGGGGCTCCTGGAGGGCTGACACGCTCCCAGTAGGTTATCCCTGGATCACTGTTCTCCCTGGCGAGGCCTGCCATGGTTGAAGATGCACATGCCCAGACCACTGTCTTGAGCGCCCTCTGCAATACTGGGTATAAGGACAGCCAAGGGAAATGGTGCTGGGAGAAGGCTGGAGGGCTATCCAGGTTTGAGCACTTGTTTAAACCTGTGTACAGGCTAGGGCAGTGTCAGCTGAACTGATTTCTTCGCAGCATTTGAATACATGTTTATTATATGCAGAATTAGCAAGGGCAGGGTCCACGCCATGGCCTGTTTGGGACAGGGGGATCCAAGGGAAGCCTTGGATGTTTTTTTCACAATTGTTGTCTTCTCCCTAAATATGGCCAGTCCTGCACATAGGAGATTCAGTACTCTCTGTGTGTCCCTCCAATAACTCTATTAGTGCTTATCTGTCCCACTGAGAAGGGCCTTTCGTGTCCATTTTCCCTGGCTCTTGTGATGTTGTGTTTGAAATGCCGTGGGGATCAGCTGGGAGGCAGCTGATGCTCTCAAGGCCTGTTTGTAGTTGATTTGTGCCAAAAGGGGTCACTTAACCCTGCAAGAGCCAGGAAAACATCTCTGAGGGTTGGTTTCACCCTGCCCTCCCCATGGGGGTGCCACTCCAAGGCTGGTCCCTGATCCCTGACTGGGCTGTCCCAACATGATGCCGGTGTCACTGCAAACAGAATGGTTCCAAAGGTGATGCTGGCAGCTGACAGTGACACTGCCTGAGCCAGAGGCACCTGAATTACTGTGAGCATGACTGGACTTATTTCATGTTATCTGGATCAACAAGGGTCAAAGACAACCTGCGTGAGACCAGGTGCTGGTGGAAACATGACCAGCCCGTGTCCTTGACCCACGGGCTGTGGGCTGGCCAGTTTGCTGACACCGTTTGCTTCCCACTTTTCAGGTCTCAGAGGAGGCCAGCACTGCCAAAGAAGCATGACCCCCATGGCAGCTCTCACAGGCAGCACGGGACCCTCTCTGGGGCCAGCCCAAGCCTCTTCCTTTTCCAAAAGGGCCAGCTGCCTCCTTGACACCATTGCTGGGAGATGGGCACCTCTCGTGAGGAGCTGCAGCAGCCTGGCTGCAGCCTTGGAACTAATGAGTTTTAAGCTCTGTGGTTAACAAAGCTGGCCAGACTCTGAACGGAGACAAAGCCTACAGGCTGCCTCCAGCTCTGCCCACAGCAAGTGGAACATGGTGCTTCTGTGAGCTTGCACAAAGCCTCCCTTGTGCAGGAGGGGATCCAGCCAAACAAGTGATCTCCTTGGCTGCATGTCTTCTGGTGCCCCATCATTTATATTTTTCCCTGGCTTGTTCCTGCTACCAAAGAAAATGTGACAAGTAAAAGCATCTGATAAAAAACTATTGACCACAGTAAAACACCAACCCAGCCAAACCAGTCTTTGCAGCCTTTGAGACACATTTATTCACTTTATTGCCTAGAAAAACAAATTCTGTGTGGTACTTGCATCACTGCCAGTGCAAAGACTCTGATTGAAGCTTGTGTTACCAAAGCGCAGTGAGATTCTGAGAGCCGAGTCCTGCTTCCTTCCCCAAGCCCAGTACCCCATGTGCAACGACATGTCTCTTAAGCCATCTCCTTGGCATTTTGTCCTTCTCCTTTTGTATTTCCAGATCACACTGCTCCCCTTGCTGCTAGCCTTAGCACTAGGGTCCTGACTCCTGGCTTCTGGTGACAGACTTTCTGGCTGGGCGCCCAGCAGGAACTCTGTGAGAAAATGACTTTTGGCCACAAGTGCCTTCAAGTCTTACAGGATTACACACAGACAGTTCAAATCTTACCTTGGAGACAAATCTTCAAGGAAAGACTTGACTCCAAGGCAAGGTTTGAACCACCTGTGAGTAATCCTGTAAGAATGCCGGGGCCACAATGGATGGGTTTTGTTCTGCGCTGAAGGCAGCAGCTGCAACGGAGGCTCCCATGGTGAAGGCGTGCATGTCCTGGACGGGTCAGATACCAGCACACACAGCAGAAGGAGGCCACCAGCATGTTCCTCTTGGTTGAATACATTTCATCAGTTGGCAAGCACACGTGAGCAAACCTGTCTAACACCCAGAGACGATGGTGTTTGCCATCCTCAAGAAGGTGGCCTGGAACTGTGCAGCCAGTAGTAGATGACTCCAGGCAAGTAGAGCTATTGCACAGGAGATCTGCTGCACGGCTTGCTTAGCCACCTCCACGGCTTGAACACATCTCTGGATGGGAACCTTGCTTTTCTGTCAAAGCACACATGGGTGTTACCTGCAGCAGCTGTGGCAGGGCACTGTTCCCCGGCATGACCCACAGTGTCCTGGTGCATGGGTTGTAGCAGCTCAGTGGAGCCATTTGGCCGGAGTTTGCCTGGAGCAGCCTGGTTGTGGAGAGGGCACCAAGTGACCCAGGAGACATTTTGTGAATTGGCTCAATATCTTTTGAAGGACAGTGGTGGACCCTTAAAATCCCTTCCAGTCCTGTCCCACATGAAATCCCTCCCTCCCAATAAGAACAGAGAAGAGCAAATAAGAAGAGAGGGAAGGTATTAAGAAAGCCAAGACGGAAGAGGAAGTGTCTGGGGCCTTTGTTCAATGTTATAAGAATAGTGCAAAGAGCTGATCCAGGATAAACCCACCTTGCTGGCTCAGATTCATTTACACATGTCAGTGGCCTAATGTTTCACTGGGAGGCTTTACACCAGATGAGGTAACAGCCACCCTTCAGTGACTTACACATGAGAAGTGACCAAGCCAAAGATCCTTGCAGCTCTGAAATCTCTGCTCAACTCGCTCACTTTCACTACGGACAGACACCAACCCGCAATTCTTTATTTTTCTCTCTGTAGCCAGATGGGAGTTTTACAGCCTTGGTAGATTCTTCCATACTAAGGATAATGGTACTTCAAATCTGGCATTGCATTGCCAGCTACATTCTGTTAGAAAGGTATAGGCTTGACATTAGGAAATTTTTTTTCACTGAAAGGGTTGTCAGACATTGGAATAGGCTGCCCAGGGAGGTAGTTGAATCACCATCCCTTAATGTGTTCAAAAGTCGTTTAGATGTGGTGCTTGGAGATACAGTTTAGGGATGTGCTTGGTAGAGTAGGGTCGATGGTTAGACTCGATAATCTCAAAGGTCTTTTCCAACCTGAATGATTCTATGATTCTATGAAATCAGAAAGTAGAAGACAACTAGGTTCTGGGCAGGTCAGAAGACAAACAGGCTCTAAGCTCCTTCTGGCAACAGATGATGTAGTAGTCCTGGAAGTACAGCAGCACCGTTAGAGGAGGCCTAGGACCAAGCTGATCCCACACAAGCATGTCACTGTAGCAGCCATCAAAAAGCCATTTCCACAGGCAGGACAGTGGGATCTGTCAGGAAAAGCAAAGAGCAATTACTAGCAGAAGTCTGGTCCGTTGGTAATACCATTCCCTAGGGGATGTGCATGCCTTTCACTAGATGACAGATCCATACTGAATTAGCTTTTCTATTATAAGGATGATGATTCAATTTTTTTCTAAAGGGTGCCCTTGCCAAAGGGCTCTGTGTCTGTGTGCTTCATAATAAAACAATTAAATACCCCATTAATGCTAAAATAGTACCAGGCTAGCAAAGAAAGCAGACAGAAAGGGTCTTCCCCTTCCCACAGAACCAAGAGCTGCCAAATTTACAGGCATTGTGGGAATGGAAAGAGTTTGAAATTATTTGTAAAAGCTGAAAGAGATTAGATGGGAAGGATTACAGATAGCCACAGGTTTTGCACTCAGAAATCACTGACAGATCGTTACTCTGAGGAAATCTGCCTCCAGACAACACTCAAAAGCTTTCAAATGAGTGGCAGGCTTGTTGCAGATTGGGTGACCTAGTCCACCCTCACTGGGCTAGTTACAAAACCCTTCCGGCTCTGGTCTCATTTGCTGAGACTGGAAGTTCAGGTATAACTGGCTCAAAGATCTCATTTATGTTTTCTCTGCACTGTCCTGTGTGGTCATGTCTTTTATTGTCTCTGTACAATAGCAGGTGTGGCATAGTTGAGTGAGAATGAAGGACTCAATACTAATGAGACTTCATTGACAGATTTCCTTCATATTGGAGTGTAACTTAAAAGGAATTCAAAAGGGAAAATAAGGCCTTGAGATTCACAGCTTCTGCCAGGCCACCAGTCTATGGCAGTGTTCCCACCAAGAGGAGCAAAACTGAGCTGGCAAGCCAGGACGTCTGTCCTAAGTATGTTTTTTCCAGTTTTGTTCATCTGCTTTTCTGATGGTCCCATCACTTTTGTCTAAACAGCATGGATCAGGAATACACAAAGAGAAGTCTCTTTAACACTCCAGTCCCTGCCTTGCGAGGAGGAGATGCCATGCATGTCCTAGGAGGAGGAGACGCCATGCAGCCCGATGGCTCTTCCAGTTTCTGCCTTCATCCCTGTCTACATCCTGCTTCATCGATGTGAGGATATGAGAACTCTCTAGATTTTCTTGTGTGCCGTATCCCTAATCCCTGTGAGGACTGGGCTGTTCTACCACCTGTAAAGCTGCAGGATACCCAAAACCATGACTGATAGAGCATGCAATGGTTTGGACTGCGAAACAGGGTCATACTTAATGGCCTGTGACAGAAAGCTGGCCAGGGCCAAGCCACTGTGCATGCACACTTTTACGAACAATTCTGCCTGTTGGGTACCAGATCCTTTGCAGCGGGAGGCAGAGTCTGGCACAGCCTATTCACATTTGCTGAATTGCTGCAGTGCTGCTTTCCTCCAGGCATACCTACCTTTTAACTG